ATCTTCGGATCACAAGCCCACCTCTCTAACCTCTGCGCCACCACTCCCCAAATAAAGTACAGATACATGAAAAATATATTTAAGTACAGTAACAAAGTACTTGTACTTAGTCACATCTCACCACTGCTGAAGACGATGAATAAAAGGGAAAGAAACATGACAATAAACCAACTGTAGCACTTGTGCGTCTTTACTACCATCACTGAAAATGGATATTGGTTTGTTTATAATACTGAAAATGGACAAAGGGAATTCATGTACCCATTTAAGCAAAGACATTTGTATTGACAACAACAATCTAACTAAATAATTCTGGTCAGATATGGGTGTGATGCATCATTTTGAAACAGCAGGTTGTTTTGCAGCTGCAGGGCCCGAGCATCTTTCAGTCAGTGAGTTGAACATGAACTCCTCTAAACTACAAAGTGTTTGAATCAAAAGTGAAGCCATCTGTCTGACAGCTGGAGCTTGGCTATAACTCAGCCATGCAAATAATCCCACCTGCAAGTCTGCAAAAGAAATAATAAACATTAGAAAGAATTAAAGAAGTTACATTAATGCAGACCAGTGCAGACCTCGAGATGAATGAAATTTAGATGTTTGTGCATAAACAACTTCCTGCTTTCGTACATGTGTCAACACAGGTCAGGACTTCAGAACAGCAAATGGATAAAATGTCTGCTTGGAGAAAAGTGCTCTCATTTGCTGATCATCGGTTAATTAAATGCAGTTAACGAGCAGCTCATATAGCTGTGTGAAAAAATATCGATCTCATGTGGAAGCAGTCAGGGTATTCATGTTTCTTGACATATTGTATCTTCATTATAGCTCTGATTTTGGTAAAATACTGAAAAAAAAATGAGTGTATCTCCTGTGACACTGTTGATAACTGTTTTTAATTTTTAAATAATTCCACTGTGGTGACCATAACAAAACATATATATATATATATATATATATATATATATATATATCCATCCATTATCTTTACCCGCTTATTCCATTTTGGGTCACGGGGGTCGCTGGTGCCCATGTCCAGCAATCACTGTGCGAGGGGCGGGGTACACCCTGGACGGGTCGCAAGTCCATCACAGGGACACATAGAGACAAACGAGACAAACAACCATTCACTCTCTCACTCACACCTAGGGACAATTTAGAGTTACCAATCAGCCTAACATGCACGTTTTTGGTCTGTGGGAGGAAACCGGAGTACCCGGAGAAAACTCACGCATGCACGGAGAGAACATGCAAACTCCACCCAGAAGGCCCCTGGACAGGGGTTTGAACCAGGGACCTGTTCGCTGAGAGGCAGCAGCTCTACCAGTTTCGCCACCGTGCTGCCTATATATATATATATATATATATATATATATATATATATACTGTATAGAGATATTCTTTACCGTAGACTCAGAGATGAAATGGCTTTAGATTTGTTGATTTGTGGAGAACCTTCACGTGTCTGGGGTTGACTGATGATTGTCTCCGCGTTCTCAGCTCCACACTTTGATTTGTGCTTGTTGTATTTTCAAAAATCTTTTTTTTTTTGTGGGTGGCCCCACTCAGGTCTGTGAGACATCCTTCTTCACTAAAGGGATTAATGTTGATGATAAAGAGGAGTACTGTATACTTCTGTGCTCCATGCATGTTCTAGAATTGCGCCACTCAGGGTGGCTGCATGTTGGAGCAGCTCTGTTACATTAATTCTGTTATTGCTTTTGAAAACTTTAATTCCTATTTTATCTGGATGTAAATCACTTTTTTTCGGATGATTACTTCCTCTGGTATTGAATGCTGTGCAGCTGGAAGGATTCTTATAGAAACCTTTCTACTTTTGGGCATTTGTTATGATGCGTAACCATGGCGACAATGTGTTTTTTAACAACCAGGATCATCTGATTAACATATCAAAAGCTCAAATACATCAGCTACAGCCCCAAAGGAGTAGAAAGGGAGGCACCGTGGTTGAATTCCCATCAACCTGACAGCAAGCTGGATCCAGGTAGATGGATCAGTATCTGTGGCCAGATTCTTTGAATTCACTGCAGGAGATCCTTCCTGCCCACAGCTCAGCATCTATAACAACTCTTTAACGAAACCAAGATGATGAGCCAAGACAACACTTAATTTCCCTCTGGGATTAATAAAGTATTTTTGAATTGAATTGAATTGAAATGGATTATCAAATGGAGGATCACGCAGACCAAGTATAGTCTGTAGAGAGAAAAAAACAGTTTGAAGGAGGTCACCATTTTGGTTTGTGAGATGATAAATCTTCCTTTGAACCTTCACCTTCCTCTTCTGTCTCCTTCCTTCATTTCATCTCTTGACAGCTTTAAATTGGATTTCTGATCCATTCTGAGCAAAACTGTTTTGGTCGCAGTCAAATCTCGCCTTTCTGAAACATGAAGAGTTGGTTTGAAAAGGAGCAGTGTGATAAAACACCCACTTCAAAAAACACACAAAAAGCTCTTTTCAAAGGGTTCAAATTAATTTACA